CGCTTCTTCTTTCCTATCAAGCATCTGTCGTCCTTATCTCTCCTTTTTCTTTTTTATGTTCGTTACTCTCTTGTAACACCTCTAATCTTCTGGTGCTCATATGACCTTATGCTGTCACGAGTGCCGTAAAACCTCAACTAAAACTAAAACTAGAAAGGTCGGTGTGAGGTTGAGAAGGAGGAGGTGGTGATGGTGGGATTATTTTGGGGAATGTTCTGTGTGGGTGTTCGTGTGTACGTGCGTGCGTGTGTGTGGTGGCTGGTTTGGGGAGGGGAGGTGGAGGGATTATTTGTTTTGTGTGTCTTTGGGGGTTATATGTGAGGCGTGCTGACAAAATGAGTTACTTCTCGGATTTTAGCCCGATGGAAATAGATGCGTCAAATTTATAGGTTAAGTTTTTACAATCAATTAGTATGAAATGATAAAAGACATGTTAAACATGAAGAGAATGGCATTGGTTTAGAATCTACAAATATGACCCTTGTGTCGATTTTTGGCAGATATCTCCCTTCTTTGATTTCAAGAAGTAACTCATTTTGTCAGTACGCCTGTGTCAAAAAAGGAGAGGGCGGGTGAAGGAGGGAGTAATTTTAATTTGTATGTGTGAGTGGTGGGGGGGGGGCATTATTTTTGGGCATGTGTTTTTTGTGTTTCTCTCATTTTAATCTGTCCCGGGGTTTTATGCACCCCGCATAATTTAGCAAAATTTGATCCTTTTTTGCATATTGTCTTATTATTTTCCTTTATCATTCTTTGTTAAAATTAATAGAATCGCATAATTTCACATTTTTGGTCTCAGTTTGCATCCTTTCAGAATTTTTTTTGCTTAAAACCACGGGGACAGTTTAATGTAAGAGTAAGAGAGTTTCTAACTTGTTCTTTGTTTGTCCCGTCCTCCCACTCCCCCCCCCCCCCTGCATGTGTCCAGCATCTCCTTGACCTTGCTTGCGTTGCCACATGCCGGGCCGGACGACACAAAAACCCGCAGCTCTTGTCAAACGAGGCCATTAGGGCGCTGCAGAGGTGAGCTATTTTTAGTGTCTATTCTTGTATCTGGTTTCTTGTTATTGTGTGTTTTACTCTCTGCAAATGCTTGCCCTAGAAAGAAAGGTGCGAGTTGGTAGAGGGCACATACTTCTTTTTTTGTTCTTTTGTTGTTTCTGTCAGTCTATTTTTTTCCTAACATGAAAGAACAGTTATTGCTTTGTTATGATTTTCTTTGTTCAATTTGAAAGTGCTACTGGTTGATGTTTCTTCATTACTACACCTGTATTGTGCCTGTCTGTCTGTCTGTCTTGTCTTTTTTACAGCACTAGATTCTAGAACATGACAATTATTGTGTAAGACTTATCTCTCTAACTTGTACAACATTTCTGTCTAATTCTAGCTCACAGGGCACCATTGTTTGATATACGTTTCCCTTTGCTGTTGGTTGTTACAGACAAGAAGAATGTGACTGTTGCCAAGGGCCACTGTTTGGGCCAGGGCTGCGAGCAATTCGCCCGATGCCGTCGCTGTTCTCGGTGAAAAACGTCCCTCTGATGTTCCGTATCTGCACCCCGGACTGTCTGGACTTCTTCAAGAATATGAGCCACAGCCAGCTCAGGATTTTGTTGTACGGGGAATGAGCCGGGGGGACAGGATGCATTTTATGACTGACACAGGGAATGAACTCTTTTTCTTAGAGTTTTGAGTAAAGAGAAGCACATCGATGCTATGACGGTTGTCTACTGCCGCTATAGAGTAAGTAACGAAGGCGAAAACAGCAGAGGTAAAGAACGTACAGAAGTAGGACCTACTAGCTGTCCCCATCGTTTTATGCAAGAAAAATTCTGAAATTATGCAAACCGAGCCCAAAAATGTGAAAATATGTGATTCTGTTAGTTTTAACAAAGAATGATAAAGGAAAAAAATCAGAATTTATGAAAAAAATTATCAAATTTTGCTAAATTGTGCAGGGTGCATAAAACCACGAGGACAGTACTAGCGTCGCTGCTTCCAACCACCTGCAGAATGAGTCTGAAACATGTGACGTTTTGTTTTATAAAAGAACTCTTGAGACAGGAGATGGTCAAAGCGAAGACAGAGATAATAAAAAATCTCCCTGTACGAGAATTGAACTCCAGTACTCCAGTCTTCATGTGACAGTGAATCGCCTAACTGCTACACCACAGACATTCACGTGTAAATAGTGAATGCCTTATGCTTGTTCGCTCATGCTGAATGTCGACCAAACAGTCGGGGGTGTATTACAATAGTGCTAGCTTTTTGTAGCATGAAATGTGAGGCAGCGTGGTGATATCAGGCGCTCGTCAAAATAGTTTAAGTAAGAGAAGAAACTGGCATTTTTCTGCAGTTTTGAGAATTTTTATAGCATTTTCGTTATTTTGGCTCAGCACCATTCGTGCACATTAATGAACACATTTCTGTGTGGATTTTACTGAAAAACATTGATTAAAAGCACAAAAAATGTCAATTTTCTTTTTTCATGGACTCTCAAGCTAAGGAAATAACTCATCTTTGGCGGCCATTTTCTCACTTATTTTACCTCTAAAACCAGGTGACCCCCACCTCCTTCATTTGCAAATATCTCGACTTCTATTCAAGATAAATGGATACTTTTTTAATCCAAAGCAAGGCAAATGGACAAGCTTTAAGATGATACCAATAACTCTACATGCCCAAAAATTGACGAGAGCCTGATTCCACTGTGTCGTGACACAAATGTTCTGTCCTCAGCCTTGGTGCACCACAATAGTGAGCAAACGAAAAAGAAGGATTCTCCATTCTGTCTCTGAAACTTGTACAGCAGATGTTGACTGAAAGATTTTACGTTCATATTGTTTTAAATTGTTAAGGAAAGATATCCCCTCACTGTCTCTCTCTCAACTATTTCAGTATTTTGTCATAATGTAGATATGCAAATTTTATTTATTTTACTCACTTAAATTTGACAAAAATGAAATCTAGAGGCTAGGTCTGAAAGACCATCCAATTCCCTTACCATTGGTATATAATATATGAAGGGTGCTGACAAAATGAGTTACTTCTCGGATTCAAGCCTTAAGAAAATGGATACATCACGCTTATAGGTGAAGTTTTTACAATTTATAAATAAGAAATAATAAAAGACAGGTTATAGTTAAAGAATATAAATGGCATCAATTGAAAATCTACAAATTTGACCCTAATGTCAATTTTTGGCCAATATCTCTGTTTGTGGATTGCGAGAAGTAATTCATTTTGTCAGCACGTCTCAATATGTCCATCAATCTGGACTAGTTAGAATTTTACAGAGGCTAAACTCCGAAGGGGGTAAACCCACTACGCTGGGGTCCTCTTTTGGTACTAAATCTAAAAATGACGAAAACGTCACTAAATGGGTAATTAAATCGAAACTAGCGAACCTATTATGATAGTACCTCATCTAAAGAATGAACTTCCGATAAGAGAAACCTGTTTTTGGCAATTGCCGAAAAGTAATTTGATGTCGAAGTCGCTGTAAAGGAAGGTGCCCGAGCCGCTGTCGGCGACTCACCGACACAGCAGTTCTGACCGCGAGCCGTTGGGAGCGGCTTGCCGGAGATAAAGAGTTAAGAATACGGAGGACCCCGAGACACAGATGAAAATAGACAAAACTGCTGGTAGTTAACACTTTGCCATCATATTTTGGGGAAAATCCAAAGAAACTGGGTGGTAAACGTCGCCGACCAGCGAGATGAGGCAGCAAAGTGTTAACCAGAGTCAAACTGAGCTACTTATTTTTATTGCGACTGCGACCACACGTGAAAAAGGAACTAAACGCCAGTGTAAGTGTAAGCCAGTGTTTATGATGTGTACGTGTGTGTGTGTGTGGGGGGGGGTTACACTCTTCTCTTTTAGGGGACATGTGCGTAACTACAAAATTATGTGTGTGTGTTCTAGACTTTCCACATTATTTATGGTATGGCAAGTTAATATCCTCATTATTCCAGAAATGTGTGCACAAGGCTTTTACTTTAGCTGGGTGTCATTTTTCATTTCCCTCTGCCAAAATCATCGAAATATATATATATATATGTAGGAACTGATGTACCTTGCTCAAAATACACACCGTAGTCAGGTCCTTATAATATCTGTCCCCGTGGTTTTATGCACCCCGCATAATTTAGCAAAATTTGATCATTTTTTGCATAATTTCTGATTATTTTCCTTTATCATTTTTTGTACAATTAACAGAATCGGATAATTTCACATTTTTGGGCTGTTTGCATAATTTCAGAATTTTTCTTGAATAAAAAGGCAGGGACAGCAATATACCCAGTGGTATACTTTATAAAGTTCTGATACTTCACAGGATGATGTTACGTACTTCCATCAGTCCCCGGGTTTTTTTAATGTAAATAAATTATGAAATTATGCAAACTGAGCCCAAAAATGTGAAATTATGAGATTCTGTTAATTTTAATAAAGAATGATAAAGGAAAATAGAAAGAATTTATTCAAAAAAATGTTCAAATTTTGCTAATTTATGCGGGGTGCATAAAACCACGGGGACAGACTTCCATCCACTTCAAATGTAAAACTTTTCACTGGATTTTAGTTTTGTGCTGAGTTCAGTGTGGTTTAAGCAATAAGTAATACAAATTAAAGAGTAAAAATATTTGTCATGACTTATGACGTTTACCTGTATGTACATAAAATGTAAAACTATTGGCTGGACTGTAGTTTGTGTTGAATTTGCTGTTCAAGTAATAAAATATTTATTTGAAATATATGGTATATATTTTTGTTGTAAAATCGATATTTCACAGACTGCTGATGCGATGTACATTGGGAATGATACTCTTGACTTGACGGTTTGTATTGAGTTTACCTTTCAAGAAGTCATGTATATATAATATATCTGTATAATTTGAATAAATTCATGAGATTTGTTTCTTCTTGTTTCCTTTTGTCTGTTACAAGCAAACACAAAACATGACACTTCGATTTGAATTTGAATAAAGAGAACCATATATCATTACCACAGCAAATAGATTTTTAGTGTATGGGAAAAGCAAGACAGACAGAAACAATAAAGTGAGAGAAAGGTAGGAGGAAAACTGCCAGTGGCAACCTCCATCTCAAACCAGCTGAACATGATGTGTGTCTTTAATTAACCCTATCCGTACGTCATGTTTTACTATCGTATCCATATGACGAGGGAAACTCTGTGCCACTCTTTTAACCCTATCCGTACGTCGTGTTTTATTATCGTATCTATATGACGTGGGGAACTCTGTGTCACCACTTTCCAAAGAGGAAATTTACTCGTTAATCCAATCCATACGTTTTGCATAGCAGTCTGTCAAAACGATTTTTTGAGAAATACTGAAAGTTTCAAAGAGATATTCGAACTAAAAGTATTCTAATGTAAAGAAATGTACAAAATGACCCCAGGACGTACGGATAGGGTTAAGGAAGATTCAGAAACTAAAACTTGTGCGTTCCACTTTTTGCGGATCTCAAGTAAAAACATAAAACACACACACTCACACAAAATAAAGCAATAACCATAATACAGGTTTTGTTTCTACTATTTATTGGTTTTCGTTGAATATATTACATAATGAAAAATGAACAACAATCTTCTTTCAAAAGAGTTTGAGCTGAGTTGTCACTTTGTTTGTTTTAATAAGAGCTTTACGGCACTTGCAACACAATAAGGTCATAAAAGAGCCGAAGATTAGAAATGTTACAAGAGAGTAGAGACTAACATACACAAAAAAGAAGGAGGGGAGGAAGAGATGATTGATGTTTAGTAGGAAAAAAGGAGCAAACCACACCAGAGCACCTGCCGAACGTTGTCATGTCTAGCTAGGCAGAACTGTAGTGGCTACATTGCACCAGGAACAGATTAGGACAAAAGTAACATAGGACAAAAGTAACATAGACAGAAAAGAAGTAGGATGAAATGAGATTAAAATGGTTTTGAAGAGTAAATATTGAGAGAAAAGTATGAAACATGATACAAACGACATTTATTCAATGAAAATCAGTAGAAGGAAGGTTCATTTGCAACAGTTTTGTTCAGTTTGAATAGATATCTACATAGAAGTTCATTGACACAATAACGGACATTTGGTGCAAGAAAAAAAAGCAAGACAGACAGAAGAAGTTGTATAGTTAGAGAGAAAGAAAAGAAAAGTAGAAGAGCTAGCCAGTGTCAAGCTCAAACCTCCTGCTGCCACTGGACAGAGAAGAACGTCAAGATGAGAAGACAGCAAAGCCAAAACGGATAGACAGAAAGAAGAGTCGGTAAGAAATATAAACTACACAGAGGCCCCTTCCTTCTACACACTCTCTCTCAGTTAAGTTTTAGTAGAGGTTTTACGGCGCTCGCAACAGCATAAGCTCGTATGAGCGCCAGAAGATTAGAGGTGTTACAAGAGAGTAACAAACATAAAAAAGAAGAAGGGGAGATCAGGACGATAGATGTTTCATGGGAAAGAAGAAGGAAACCATACCAGAGCACCCGCCAACCAACCACTCTCTCTCTCTTCCTTCTCTTCCAATGTCTTGACATAACATATAAATAACTATGTACACATTTCCCCACAGACAATATTTCATGGCTGCAAGGTATGAAAACTTGAGATTGAAAACAAAACTATCAGATACATTCTCCAAACACTTCATCATAAAAAGGCACAAGGGAACAAGATTTTAGAAATGACATGGACACACATTCACACCCCAACCACCAAAACAAGGCGGAGTCATTATTGAGTTCTGGAATTTAGTGTACACGCAAAAAGGCAAGGTAGACAGAAACAAGAGGGGGAAAGAAAAGAAGTAGGACCTACCAGCGGCGCCTTCCAACCACAAAAACAAACAATAACCAGTCAATAGAAAACATAAAGAACAACATTCATTTCAAAGCACAAAATTACAATTTTTAAAAAGTATTAGTAAGAGTTTTACGGCACTTGGAACACATTAAGGTCTTATAGGTGCCGAAGATTAGAGGTGTTACAAGAGAGTAACAAACACAAAATAGAAGGAGGGGAGATAAAAATGATAGATGGTTGATAGGAAAGAAGGAGCAAACCACACCAGAGCACCCGCCAACAACCCACAAAATGACAAAAAATTTGACAAACGTGAGGCGTGCTGACAAAATGAGTTACTTCTCGCGATCCAAGAATGGAGATATCGGCCGAAAATCAACATTGGGGATTTAAAGATTTTTAGTTGATGCCGTTTTGTTCAAGTCTACCGTACGTGTCTTTTATTATTCTATACTTACAAATTGTACAAACTCCACCTAAAAAGTTGATGTATCAATTTTCATACGGCTAAAACCCGAAAGAAAACTCATTTTGTCAGCACACTTCACAAATGTTAAATTGGACCCTCATTCCCTCTGCTTGACCTAGTGCGGTACATCTAGGATCAGCCTAGAGGTCACAATGGAGTGGTAATTAGACTGACATCCTACACCAACAAGAAAAGGCAGGCTGTACTCGCTGAGATGCCCCAGGATGTGAGCGGCTGAAAAATTTTTTACTTTTCCAAAATATTTCTTCACAAGACCAGAAAGAGACTCAACATTTCCAACAAAAAATACCCCAAAACTAATGGAAGCTGGCCAGCCATGGACCCCCCCCCCCCCAAAAAAAACAACAACCAAAAAACCCAAAATCCAATTCTAAACCTCAGAACAGTACAGAGAAGGAAAAAAAGAATTGAACACCCCCCCCCCCCCCCCCCCGAAAAAAACAACAACAAAAAAACAACAAAAAAACAAACAAACAAAAAAGCAAAGTAAACCAACATTCAATTGTAAACCCCAGATCAGTACAGAGAAGAAGAAGAAAAAAAAAAAAAAAGAATTGACAATCAACAGATGTCATCATCTCATCATCATAGCCCTCCCTGATCAGCGTTGATGTCGATGTTGTGGACCTCCCTGATCTTGTTGGAGAAGTCCTGAGAGAGCTTCCAGGGGTTAAGGGTCACGGACTTGGTGCAGTCGTGAGTCTTGTAGATCCCGACAAGGCGGTCGGCCAGCTCAAACATGTTGTTGCGCAGGGAGATGATGATGAACTGGGCGTTCTTTGTACGCTCCTGGTGGGGGGAAACAAATTTTGAAAAACTTTTTTCATTTGGTTCTGTTTTGGTTTTTCTTTTCAGGTTTAGTGGAATATTAAGTAATAATAATATAACAATAATAATAAATAATAATAATAACAACAACAAAAATAAATCATGATAATAATAACAATTATAATAAATAATAATGATAATAATAACAATTATAATAAATAATCATGATAATAATAACAATAAGAAATAATAATAATCTATACAATGATAATAATAACAATAAAAATAAATAATAACAATGGTGGACCGCATGTACATGCCAACTCAAACATGTACCACAAAGAAATGATGAAATGGAGCAAAGTAAACAATTTTTTTTTAAATTTTCATTTGATTCTGTCTTTGTTCATATATAACTAGCCAAGTACCCAGCTTTGCTCGGGGTCCACGCCTTGGCGTCACTGCTTCTACTGGTCTAGCCGCGGAGGCATTTTACATCTACATGTCCTTGCTGTCTAGCATTTCACAGTCATATCTGGCTTCTAGATCTATATTGCTTTAGATTAGGTCTGCCTTGATTAACTCCTCTGTCGATCTACATTGCTTTAGTGTATTGCTGTCCAGCCCTTCACAATCATAAAATACGGGTTTCGCCTAATACCATTACAAAAAAAAAACACTAAGAAAATAATAATCCACGAAAGGGCTGCTTCATTGTAAAAGGAACACACCCAAAAATTCTAGGTCATTGACAAATTTACCTATGCCCACGAAACTTTGCATGGCACTTCTACAGGCTAGCGACATAACAAAAATATTTATTCAAAAAATCTTGACCCAGTAATAAAAAAGTTTTTCTCTTTGGGTCCTATATTAAAAACATCTCTTTGGATACACACACAGGATCACGTCTCTACGTACTACAGGTGAGTCTGGATAATTACTCACCTCGTCTCATGAATCATGTTTCTTAGGAGAATGTTAAAGAGCGGTAATAAACTTCCGTTGTGAAGGAGAGCTACGCAGATTTGTCTCGTTTCTCAGTAGAATTATTACAAAGGCTAAAGAAGGGCGGGAACTTTCTGTCAATTATATTTTTCTAAATTCAGTAACTGAATAAATCAAAAATCGGGCTCCGACATGGGGACCTATCTATCTTTTTGCAGGTACTTGCCAACTTTCAACTCTGTAGCTGTCGTAGTTTTATGGGAAAAGTGATACATGTATTTCCAAGTTGCCAAATAATAGATAACAGTATAGTAACAGTAACAGACTGCATTTGTATGCCAGCTCAAACATCTTTTTCTGTTTTCTAAATTAAGATCTGAAATTAAAGGCATATAAAACAAGTGTGATGCACAGGCTGAAATCACATCCGATACACAGGCTAAGTATAAAAAAAGAGGGGGGGGGGGGGGGATCAAGTGTATTTCAATTTGTGCTGTCTAAAAGACAAGGTCGGTTACGAAACAGTAAAAACTTTAGTTTTTAGTTTTAGTAGAGGTTTTACGGCGCTCGCAACTGCATATGGTCATATGAGCGCCAAGGGGTGAATGTCAACAGAGAAGTCTTTACAGGGAATCAGACTTACACTGCTCACCTCTCTAGCTTCAACAGCACAAAGTCTGCTTCGACTATCAAGGCACCCCGGAAATAGCGGGTCACAAGAGTGTGACAAACATACAAAAGAAGTAGAGGAAATGATGATAGTAAGGATTAGGAAAGAAAACGCAGCAGTTCCCTGTTGTAGATCAAGCACAATTATGAGCATGACATTGTTAGATCAGCCCATTTACAGTTCTACAAGAACGAGAAATGTCCCCCCTTTGGGAATGGCCTAAAGACACTTCAGTCAGTGGCACCGCCCCGGGGGGGGTTGGATCAGACCGAGCACGCACCTTGATGTAGTTGGCCACGATGGAGACGTTCTTGAAGTCGAGAGCGGCGTCGATCTCGTCCATGACGTACAGAGGCGTGGGCTTGTAGTGGTGGAGAGCAAACACCAGGGCCAGGGACGACAGAGTCTTCTCCCCTCCTGACAGGTTGGAGATATTCTTCCACGACTTCTTGGGCGGCCTCACACTGAGGGCAGGAACACGATCAATATTAGAAAAGAGCAAGACAGACAGTGAAAAACTGGGAGAATAAAGAAGACCAACCAGTGACACCCTCCAACCAATCAGACAGAATAACTTCCCAATGTTTTTCCCTGAATACAGTCGAATCTTCTCTAACGGCAACCTGTATAAGACGATCAACTGTACAAACAGCCACTTCCCATTCTCTCCCTTGTGTATTTTTTACATTATAATGACATTGTTTAGTTAACCCTACCTGTACGCCCTGGGGTCATTTTGTACCCCCGGGTTGTATTCTTCACATTTTAGAATACTTCTAGAATGAAGATCTCTTTGAAATTTTCAGTATTTCTCAAAAATCATTTTGACAGACTGCTATGCAAAGCGTACGAATCAGATTAACGAGTAAATTTCCTCTTTGGAAAGTGGTGGCACAGAGTTCCCCACGTCATACGGAAACGATAATAAAACACGATGTACGGACAGGGTTAAGATAGCCATCTGTCTAAGACGACCATTTTTCTCTTCAATAATGGGTGTCCTTCTCAGACAACTTTGACTGTATCTCCCTCACCTGAAGACAATTCCCTCAGAGAAGGGGTCCAGAGAGTCGACCAGTTCCAGCTCAGCATCGCCCCCGAGCGTGATCATCTGGTACATCTCCTTCAGCTTGTTCGTGATCACCTGGCGCAGAAACAGATGACGCATGTCAGTTCTTTCATTGCTTTATATGTGTTTTTCTCTGTGTGTTTGTGTGCATATGTCCGCACATGTGTGTGTATATGCATGGACTTAGACTGATATAGTATATCAGACATGTGTGTGTATATCAGTCTAAATCCATGCATATGCGCATATCTGTGCACGCCTGTAAGTGTGAGTATTGTGTGAGTGTATGTATTTGAGTTTGTGGGTCTGTTAGTGTCCGCGTGTGCCCCCCCCCCCCCTTAACTCTCTCCTCTTACTCTTACCTGGAATCCCGCCATAAACTCCTCCAGCCTCTGTTTGCGTAGACTCTCGTGGTACTGTCTCTGCTGGTCTCTGACGCCCGTGATGTTGTCCAGCTCTCCCACACGCTGGAGGTACGTCTCTTCCTGGAGGGGAGGATTTGGGAAAGTTTGGGTCAAGATAAGGAGAGGGGGGGGGGGGGTGGGGAGAGAGGGAGGAAAGGAAGGAGGGAGAGGGAGAGGGGGAGAGAGAGAGGGAGAGAGAGAAAGAAAGAGAACGGTTTAGTTTTAGTAAGAGAGAGTAAAGGCAATTGAAACAATTAGGTCATATAAGTGCAGAAGTACTAATGAGTGCCAGACAAAGACGAAAGAGATAAGGGATGATAAAGAGAGAAAGAGAGCGAGAAGAGAAGGAGAGTGAGGGAAAGATGGCTTCTCGTTTATCTCTGCCCAGACGCCCTCAAAGGTTCTTCATCTCATCCTCACCTTTTTCCTGTACTCGGCGATGGCGGCCATGTTGGGCTTCATAGATGCCAGTCTCTCCTCCTGTACCGTGATCTGATACTGTACTTCCTGTTTTCCCAGGGACGCCAACTCTTCAGCAGATAATTCAGGAAGGGTCAAGGACTCTTCTTCATCCTCTCTCGACACCGATGTCAGCTTCAGGCCACTCACCTGGGAGAGCAAAATAAGTACAACACTTTGCCATCGTCTAAGTTTTAGTAAAAGTTTAACGGCACTTGCAACACAATACGGTCATATAAGTGCCGAAGATTAGAGGTGTTACAAGAGAGTAACAAACACACAAAAGGAGGAGAGAGAAGGACGATAGGTGTTTTTTTTATAGGAAAGAAGAAGCAAACCACACCAGAGCACCCACCAACCACCCACACTTTGCCATCATACTTTGGGGGAAATCCAAAGAATCCGAGAGGTAAACATCGCCAATCGGCGCGATGAAGCAGCAAAGTGATAAAAAACATTCAACATTCATTGGCACAACAATTCAAGTGTTTACCTAACTTGTCATCTGAGAATAACAAGGTTTATATGAGAATTAAAAATGTATGTGAGGATTATAACAAAGTTATAGTGAAAAGAACATAACAAAGTTCTTGTGAAAAGAACATAACAAAGTTAGAGTGAAAAGAACATAAAGTTCTTGTGAAAAGAACATAACAAAGTTCTTGTGAAAACAACATAACAAAGTTATAGTGAAAAGAACATAACAAAGTTATAGTGAAAAGAACATAACAAAGTTATAGTGAAAAGAACATAAAGTTATAGTGAAAAGAACATAACAAAGTTATAGTGAAGAGAACATAACAAAGCTCTTGTGAAAAGAACATAAAGCTCTTGTGAAATTATGTTTTAGTGAGGATAACAAAATTTTTCTAGGAACATCAAAGTTGCTCTAAGGAAATCGAATTTCAAAGTTCTGAGAATTAAAGAAAAATTCTCTCATGAAATTCCCATCTTTTCCTTAAATCACAACTACAAAAAAAAAAGAAAGCTACTTCCAGTAGCAAAAACCTTACCTCCTTTTTCCAATGTTTGATTTTCATTCTGTTTTCTTTCAAAACGCCTTCCACTTTTTCAATCTCGTGCTGGATATCTACTCCATTCTTTGCCATCTCCGTCTCCTCTTCCTCCAAACTCTCCACTTCCGTTCTCATTCCCTCCATAGATCCTTCTCTCTCTTTCACATCCGCCTAAAAAGAAAAAAGTAAAAAGTAGAAAAACAAAAGGAAAGAAAGAAAACAAATCAGTGAGAAATTAAATGATTATTTAAACTACGTAATTTTTTGCCACAAGAGTTAAACTGTCAACAAAATAAGTAAAGTCTTCATTCTCTTGCCATCGCAGTTACAATCCTACGTCTCTTGTCATAGCAGTTAAAATCCTACGATTCTTTTCATAGCAGTTTAAATCCTAGGAGACACACAGCTGGACTTTTCTAAGGGGGGGGGGAGAACTGCATCCCTGGCCAGAACACAGCTGGACTGAGAAGAAAACATGCCTGGGAGAGAGAAATTCAACAGAAAAATCAATTTCGAACTTGGAACATCCACACGCCAAATCATGTTCCCAGCCTACTGTGCCATAACATGCTGTCTCAGTCCATGAGCATTTGTGAAGTGTGCTGACGAAATGAGTTACTTCTCGGATTTAAGCCCAATGAAAATACATACATTATCATGCTTAGAGGTTAAGTTTTTTAAATTTGTAAGTATGAAATAACAAAAGGCATTTAGTATTTAATGAATATTGCACCAATAGAAAACCTAGAGATTTGTCTCTAGTGTCGATTTTGGCCCAATATCTGCATTTGTGAATAGTGAGAAGTAACTCATTTTGTCAACACTCCTCACATTTGGATGTCTTTCATTCAAATTATCAAACAGTTGCTGCAAAACTTCCAGCAGATCTCAAGGAAAGGTCGGGCAATGAACAGACATATTGTAGGGAAAGAGGAATATTTGCTGCACACGCCTCTTAAATTTCATAACTTTAAAAAAAAAAGCAACAAACAAAAACAAAAAACAAAAGCAAATGCACATTACCTGAGCTTTTTCGTAGATCTCCAACAGTTTGGTAGCCTCTCCCTCCATGTCCTTCAGCTTCTGACACAAAACCTCCACCTGTTGTTTCGTTTCTGTGATTTCCTCGCCAACAGTCGCCACCTTCTCTTCTGCTCTCTTCAGATTTCTAAAAAATAAATTACGGTAAATTTTACAAAATGCTTTTCGCCATTATCAACACAATTTAGATCAGTCAACAGGAAGGCAGCTTAGTTTTAGTTTTAGTAGAGGTTTTAAGACGCTCGCAACTGCATAAGGTCATATGAGTGCCAAGGGGTAGATGTCAACAGAGAAGTCCTTAAATGGGAATCAGACTTACTCTGCTCACCTCTCTAGCTTCAACAGCACAAAATCTGCTTCGACTATCAAGGCACCCCGGAAATAGAGTTACAAGAGAGTGACAAACATACAAAACAAGTGGAAGAAAATGACAAGAGTAAGGATTAGAAAAGAAAAAGCAGCAGTTCCCTGTTGTAGTTCAGGCAGTTATGAGCATGACAAAGTTGGATCAGCCCATTTACAATTCTAGAGTGCATTAGAACAAGAAATGTCCCCCCTTTGGGAATGGCCTAAACACACTTCAGTCAGTGGCACCGCCCCGGGGGGGTCCTAGGAACTGAATGAGTCTCTCCCAAATTGTTTTCATGAGAGACTCAAAGAAATAAGACTCCTCTGTGCTGACACTACAATACACATGTACATCCTGGATGTATCCTATCTGTGAGATACGCCGATACTGCACAACACATGTACATCCTGGATGTACCCTATCTGTGAGATATGCTGATACCACACAATACATGTACATCCTGGATGTACCCTATCTGTGAGATATGCTGACACTACAACGAATGTATCCTATCTATGAGATACGCTGACACTACAATGGATGTATCCTATCTGTGAAATACGCTGACACTACAATGGACGTATCCTATCTATGAGATACACTGACACTACAATGGATGTATCCTATCTGTAAGATACGCTGACACTACAATGGAGGTATCCTATCTGTAAGATATGCTGATACTACAATGGACGTATCCTATCTATGAGATACGCTGACACTACAATGGACGTATCCTATCAGTGAGATACCTCTCAGCTGTCTTGACTCCCACGTTGTTCTTCGTGATCTGCCCCGTGACTTTGTCGATGTCTCCGTTGATGCACTTGAGCCGAGACTGGACAGCACTCAGTTTGGCCCCGCCAATGTCCATGATCTGGTTGTGAAGCCTGTCAGAAAAACATTACCAAAACATGTTTACAATCATCAAAAACATTACCAAAACATGTTTATAACCACCAAAAACATGTCTACAGTCATCAAACATATTCAAAATACATCTACAGTACAATACACATTTGAAACACATTGCCAGTAATGAACACATTCAAAAACATTGAACAAACATGCCTTTTTACACAACAATCCAAAAGATATTCTTCAATTCAACCAGTGGCACTAACCACACACCAAAATTATACTCAGACACAAAAGAACTTAAATTTGATCACACGAGAGATTAGTTTAGTTCTCGTAAGAGTTTTACGGCACTTGCAACACAATAAGGTCATATAAGTGCCAAAGATTAGAGGTGTTACATGAGAGTAACAAACACGAAAAAGAAGGAGGGGAGATAAAGACGATAGATGTTTGATAGGAAAGAAGGAGCAAACCACACCAGAGCACCCGCCAACCACCCACGCACACGAGAGAACAACACTAAAAATATAGCTAGTGAAGAAGTCTGGCAAAAACTTATACAAAGAAATCCACAAAAGTAAAAAAAAAGTGATAAAAAAATTCTCCAACATGCATAGTCAGTTTTAGTTTTAGTTTTAGTGGAGGTTTTACGGCACTCACAACTGCATAAGGTCATATGAGCGCCAGAAGATTAGAGGTGTTACAAGAGAGTAACAAACATAAAAAAAAGAAGGAGGGGAAATAAGGACCAAAGATGTTTGATAGGAAAGAAGAAGCAAACCACACCAACCACCCACACTACATTTTGCAGAGCATCAACGTGCAGGCACTTTGTAACAATGTGAACAACACAAAGATACGTACTCCTTGACCTGTTCCTCAAGTTTTGTGGCTGTCTGGGCCACTTTGTCATAGGCTGAAACACAACAGAAGAGATAGCATTAGGCTATTGTTTGTTGGAGGAAAAATGAGCATTGTATCAACACAAAAATGGTTTTTATTTTTATTTAGGAGAGGTTTTTCGGCGCTCGCGACTGCATACGGTCATATGAGCGCCAAGGGGTGGATGTCAACGTAGAATTCCTTACAAGGCATCGGGCTTACTCTGCTCACCTCTCTAGCTTCAACAGCACAAAATCTGTTTCAACTTTCAAGGCACCCTGGAAATAGCAGGTCACAAGAGTGTGACAAACATACAAAAGAAGTAGAGGAAATGACGATAGTAAGGATTAGGGAAAAAAAAGCAGCAGTTCTGTTCAGGCACAGTTTTGAGCATGACATTGTTGAATCAGCCCATTTACAATTCTACTGTGCATAAGAACGAGAAATGTCCCCTCCTTTTGGAATGGCCTAAAGACATTTTAGTCAGTGGCACCGCCCCGGGGGGGGGGGGGGGGGGGGCATGGTTTTAGGGCGCTGGAAAAAAATAAAACAGACAGACAGACAGAGAGCACAGGAAACAAAAAGAAGTGACAGCTTCCAACCACCCACTTGTTTGAATAGAAGCACATCAACACAATAAAGGTCATCAACTGCTATGGAAAAAAAAAAACCAATTAAACAACAGAAACAAAAAAAGAAGAGAAAAAAAAACAAGAAACTGCTAGAGGCATCCCACAAATACACTAACATACTTTGTACAAACACAAAGCAGATTTTCAACACCAACCAACCAACCTTTCCGGTAGGAAGCCACATTGCTTTCAATTTCTTTCAGCTTGGACTGATCGGGGATGGCCGATTTGAGAACCTCCTCCTGCTCTTTTTCCTGCTCCTTCAGCGCAGCCAGCCTCTCCTTGAGCCCGTGCACCTCCTGCGAGTGCTTGGCCTGGTTGTGTTTGAGCTGCACCAGATCCTTCTCCTTCTGGCCGATGGTGTCTTCCAGCTTGAACTTCTTCAGTCTCAGCGACTCGTACTCGCGGTTCAGCTATGGGGAAAATTGGATGAATTATAAAACAGTTGTAGTTAAAGAAGTTTGGACAAATATAAAACAGTTGTTAAAAGCTTAACAAATCTTTTAGTTGTTTTTTTTAAAGTTTTAGTAAGAGTTTTACGGCGCTCGCAACTGCATAAGGTCATATGAGGGCCAGAAGATAAGAGGTGTTACAAGAGAGTAACAAACATAAAAAAGAAGAAGGGGAGATAAGGACGATAGATGTTTCATAGGAAAGAAGAAGCAAACCACACCAGAGCACCCGCCAACCACCCACTAACAAATCTTTACATAAATGTAGTTTTAGTCTTGATAATTCTTTTCAGTTTTAATCAAAGTCAGGACAAATCTTTAAAAGGTGGAGGTCAAAACCTCAAATACAACAAGAGAGGTGCATACAATAATTTTGGGACTCGCCAGTAATACAGTCTCTAGCAGTTTCAACTTTTTCTGTTGGTCTCTTACTCAGTCAAGCTGCTAGAAAGATTTCACAGCTCAAATAATATTTGTATCTAAAGCCTAAAAAATCTCTCTCACTCAAGACTCAGCTGTCATAAGAATTTGATCAATCATAAAATAGTCGTATTTCACCCTAGCTCAGTCACTTGGAATGTGCAGGATTTTCAGGGAATTTCACAAGAATTTCAAATAGAACGTAAGTCAGCGGTACCTCCTGAAATATGTCTTTTGAAAAATCTTTGAATATTTTTCAGAAAGAACATGAAAAGAAGTGCTGCAAAAGCATGGAATTTTGTAAGGGTATGAAATGATTTCAGGCGCTAACAAATCTTTTCTTTGTTTGTATTAGTAGAGGTTTTACTGCGCTCGCAACTGCATAAGGTCATATGAGCGTCAAAGGGTGGAAGTCAACAGAGAAGTCTTTACAGGGAATCGGGCTTACTCTGCTCACCTCTCTAGCTTCAACAGCACAAAGTCTGTTTCGACTTTCAAGGCACCCCGGAAATAGCGGGTCACAAGAGTGTGACAAGTGTAGAGGGAAGTGACGATAGTAAAGATTAGGAAAGAAAAATCAGCAGTTCCCTGTTGTAGTTCTGGCACAGTTATGAGCATGACATTGTTGGATCAGCCCATTTACAATTCTACTGTGCATTAGAATGAGAAATGCCCCCCCCCCCCCCCCCCCTCCCTTGGGAATGGCCCAAAAACAAAGAGAGGCCACAACAGAGATGCTGCAGTAACCTTTTCCAGAGTGTTCTCCATGTTTGTGACTTGCTTGGGGTCGACGTCCGAGACGATGGAGGAGCCCATCTTGCCCCTGCACACACTGTTACCTCCACCGCTCATGGCACCTGAAGGGGGAAGCATTCTGGGTCATCTTTACACATGGAACACGACGAAGTATTTCTACTTGTTTAATTTAAATAAAATGAGGCACATTGAAATACTAATGGCTATTTAGTATTGAGAAAAAAAAAGACAGACAACTTAATCCACAAAAAAATTAATATTTCTGCTGTCTTTTTTAATCTTATTAAGTGTTTTACAGCACTCGCAACTGCATAAGGTCATATGAGCGCCAGAAGATTAGAGGTGTTACAAGAGAGTAACAAACATAAAAAAGAAGAAGGGGAGATATGGATGATAGACACTTGAGAGGAAAGAAGGAGCAAACCACATCAGAGCACCCACCAACATTTCTACTTGTTTAATTTAAGTAAAATGAGGCACTTTAACATACTAATGGCTATTTAGTATTGAGAAGGAAAAAAAACAAGACAGACAACTTAAGCCACAAAAAAATACATATTTCTGTTGTCTGGTTAGAGTAAAGATCTGAAACACATTTGTCACATTGTCTTATAAATTGCTATTTAGAACACAGAAAAGGCAAGAAGAGAGACCTAATGGTGACGCCCTCTAACTACCCAAATGTATTTCAACACCTCAAGGAGGAGTTTAACTACTTTCTGTCTGCATTGTTTAACAGGTGAAATGGGAGAGCTGCTGTTCGCATGTCATGATGAACAGCTATGACTACTCCCAACACTTCCTCAAATTTCGCCAGGAAGAAAAACTTACTTACTCTCCCCTACCATCAGGTACATGAGGCAGAGAGCATTCGACGTCTCACTTGCCTGTTCCTTGTGTCACAATTAGCAAATTTCTCTTGCTCAAAAAGACAGACAAGTCGCTACCTCAGAATTACAAAGTTCTATCTGCTCAGTACCTAGTTTTGAGAAATTTGACGTTAATTTTGAGTTTCACAACATGTCAAGCTTTTTCGAGTGCAATTCTTGGAATATCTCGACAACGACTGTGAATAATCTTACAATTTTGATAGAGTAGATAGTACATTTGTTTTTTAACCTCATGGTCTTGGTAACTCAAAAAGATTTTAAAATGTCAGACAGAAATTTGTAATTTTGAGGCAGCGAAGTGACAACCCATTAAAAAGCAGTGACACAAACATTGTCGGACATTATTAGTTACTGAACCTGAACTCACTGTCAACTTACCGGACACTTCGATGAGCTCTCCTTTCAGAGTGACAACCCTGTATCGCGTCTTGCCGTAAGCGATGCGGGTAGCCTGGTCGATGTCCTTGGAGACCAGAGTGTTCCTCAGGGCGAAGTAGAAACAAGTCTTCACCACCTCGTCCTTCACTCGCACTAAGTCAAACAGGCGGGGGACGTTTTCTGGCCTGAGAACAAAATAAAATGACGATAAGATAAGATAAGATAAGATAATATAATACTTTACAAAACCCAGAGGGAAATTTTTCTTGGTTGTACAGGACCGTAAAAACACATGCAGGTAAACATAAAAATTTTTAATTATATATATATATATATATAACTTTCATCAAAATTCAACATGAAAAAAAGAAGTAAAGCTGACAAAATGTACATATCACATCAGATGCATCATTCAACCACATGCAGGAATTTGATTACAAGACCTTTGCCGTAGATGCATACTCTAAAGAGCAATACACATTATGCTTATTCTGACAATAGCCTTATAATGAGAATTCAGCAAGAAAAACAAAAAATCCTCCCACAAACTAGTTCTGAGCAACAGCTCTGCACGGCGCACACACGTACGTGGTGATCCTCTTCTTGGTCTCCTCCCGCCACACCTCCATCTTGTCCAGCAGGATGAACTTGCCCTGGCCGATGTTGTGTTTCTTCAGGAACTCGATGCAGCGCTTGCCCGTGTCCACCGTGTCTACGACGATGTGGTCCAGACTCCCACAGGCTGTGGAGATGGCCACGTCGTACTGGCTGTCGATGGCTCCAAGGTCACCCTGAGATTAGTTAAAGTTTTAGTTTTAGTAACAGTTTTTTAGTTTCAGTCAAATTTTTCAGTTTGTTTTAGTGGAGGTTTTACCGCGCTCCCAACTACATAAGGTCATATGAGCTCCAGAAGATTAGAGGTGTTACAAGAGAGTAACAAACATAAAAAGGAGGGGAGATAAGGACGATAGACACTTGAGAGGAAAGAAGGAGCAAACCACATCAGAGCACCCACCAACATTTCTACTTGTTTAATTTAAGTAAAATGAGGCACTTTAACATACTAATGGCTATTTAGTATTGAGAAGGAAAAAAAACAAGACAGACAACTTAAGCCACAAAAAAATACATATTTCTGTTGTCTGGTTAGAGTAAAGATCTGAAACACATTTGTCACATTGTCTTATAAATTGCTATTTAGAACACAGAAAAGGCAAGAAGAGAGACCTAATGGTGACGCCCTCTAACTACCCAAATGTATTTCAACACCTCAAGGAGGAGTTTAACTACTTTCTGTCTGCATTGTTTAACAGGTGAAATGGGAGAGCTGCTGTTCGCATGTCATGATGAACAGCTATGACTACTCCCAACACTTCCTCAAATTTCGCCAGGAAGAAAAACTTACTTACTCTCCCCTACCATCAGGTACATGAGGCAGAGAGCATTCGACGTCTCACTTGCCTGTTCCTTGTGTCACAATTAGCAAATTTCTCTTGCTCAAAAAGACAGACAAGTCGCTACCTCAGAATTACAAAGTTCTATCTGCTCAGTACCTAGTTTTGAGAAATTTGACGTTAATTTTGAGTTTCACAACATGTCAAGCTTTTTCGAGTGCAATTCTTGGAATATCTCGACAACGACTGTGAATAATCTTACAATTTTGATAGAGTAGATAGTACATTTGTTTTTTAACCTCATGGTCTTGGTAACTCAAAAAGATTTTAAAATGTCAGACAGAAATTTGTAATTTTGAGGCAGCGAAGTGACAACCCATTAAAAAGCAGTGACACAAACATTGTCGGACATTATTAGTTACTGAACCTGAACTCACTGTCAACTTACCGGACACTTCGATGAGCTCTCCTTTCAGAGTGACAACCCTGTATCGCGTCTTGCCGTAAGCGATGCGGGTAGCCTGGTCGATGTCCTTGGAGACCAGAGTGTTCCTCAGGGCGAAGTAGAAACAAGTCTTCACCACCTCGTCCTTCACTCGCACTAAGTCAAACAGGCGGGGGACGTTTTCTGGCCTGAGAACAAAATAAAATGACGATAAGATAAGATAAGATAAGATAATATAATACTTTACAAAACCCAGAGGGAAATTTTTCTTGGTTGTACAGGACCGTAAAAACACATGCAGGTAAACATAAAAATTTTTAATTATATATATATATATATATAACTTTCATCAAAATTCAACATGAAAAAAAGAAGTAAAGCTGACAAAATGTACATATCACATCAGATGCATCATTCAACCACATGCAGGAATTTGATTACAAGACCTTTGCCGTAGATGCATACTCTAAAGAGCAATACACATTATGCTTATTCTGACAATAGCCTTATAATGAGAATTCAGCAAGAAAAACAAAAAATCCTCCCACAAACTAGTTCTGAGCAACAGCTCTGCACGGCGCACACACGTACGTGGTGATCCTCTTCTTGGTCTCCTCCCGCCACACCTCCATCTTGTCCAGCAGGATGAACTTGCCCTGGCCGATGTTGTGTTTCTTCAGGAACTCGATGCAGCGCTTGCCCGTGTCCACCGTGTCTACGACGATGTGGTCCAGACTCCCACAGGCTGTGGAGATGGCCACGTCGTACTGGCTGTCGATGGCTCCAAGGTCACCCTGAGATTAGTTAAAGTTTTAGTTTTAGTAACAGTTTTTTAGTTTCAGTCAAATTTTTCAGTTTGTTTTAGTGGAGGTTTTACCGCGCTCCCAACTACATAAGGTCATATGAGCTCCAGAAGATTAGAGGTGTTACAAGAGAGTAACAAACATAAAAAAGGAGGGGAGATAAGGACGATAGATGTTCGATAGGAAAGAAGAAGCAAACCACACCAGAGCACCCGCCAACCACCCATACCCTGAGATTAAAGTTTTAGTTTTAGTAAGAGTTAGTTTTTAGTTTTAGTAGAGTTTTTTGTGGAGCTCGCAATTGCAGAAGGTCATATGAGCACCAAGGAGTGGGTGTCAACAGAGAAGTCCTTGCAGGGAATCAGGCTTACTCTGCTCACCTCTCTAGCTTCAACAGCACAAAGTCTGCTTCGACTATCAAGGCACCCCGGAAATAGTGGGTCACAAAAGTGTGACAAACATACAAAAGAAGTAGAGGGAAAATGAAGACAGTAAGGTTTAGGAAAGAAAAAGCAGCAGTTCCCTGTTGCAGTTAGGCATAGTTATGAGCATGACATTGATGAATCAGCCCATTTAAAATTACAATTCTACTGTGCATAAGAACTCAAGATGTTAATGTCCTCCCCTTTGGGAATGGCCTAAAAGACACATCAGTCAGTAGCACCTCCTCGTGGGGGTTTAGCTTTCAATAGCACAGTGGTATTTGGCAATCGCTACAGAGGGAATGTCATGTCTGAGAAGATCCACTACAGAGGGAATGTAATGTCTGAGAAGATCCACTACAGAGGGAATGTAATGTCTGAGAAGATCCACTACAGAGGGAATGTAATGTCTGAGAAGATCCACTACAGAGGGAATGTAATGTCTGAGAAGAACCACTACAGAGGGAATGTAATGTCTGAGAAGAACCCAGGTTGAAAGACAAGGCCAGGACTAAGTCCACAGTGCCGCGGAGATCCAAACTGTTGAAGAAGATGGGAGGGCTGACACAAACCAGAAGGTCCAGAATCAACTTTCCTCCTAGACTTGTTTAGTTTAATAGAGGTTTTTACGGCGCTCGCAACTGCATAAGGTCATATGAGCGCCAGAAGACTAGAGGTGTTACAAGAGAGTAACAAACATAAAAAGAAGAAGGGGAGATAAGGACGATAGACTGAGTGACACTGGTACACCCCTCAACGACATTGCAAACCCCCCGCCCCCCTCCCCCACCCCTCAGGCCATCAAAAGCGAAAACAAATTTCATTTCATCAAAAGCAAGGTGGTCAAATATCATAAGCTGTTAGATAGACTGACGATAACATCTGACAGAGCACTCACCAAACGTCCGTATATTCCCGGCAAGCTTCCTTTTTTCTTCTCAGCCATGAGAGATTCCAGCACCCGATTCTGACTCTTCGATGCGGCCATCGAGCTCTTTGCCTCCTCAACTTTGCTCAGTAGACTGTTACGCTAGAGAAACAAACAAACAAAAACTATTGCAAACACACACACACACAGACTGCTATTACGGAGGAATGGACACACGGAGACTAAGATTAGTTTGTTCATTTGAATAAAGGAAAAAAAAAAAATCAACTTTATAACAGTCAGTTTCACTTTGTTAAGTTTTAGACACTCATTTGAATAAAGAAAAAAAATAAACTTTATAACAGTCAATATCACTCTGTTAAGTTTTACGACACTCGCAACTAACTGCCTAAGGCCATATGAGCCCATGAGACAAAAAGTTGGTTGATTTCCTGTTGGTTCACACCAGGGCTTGGCTTTACTTTCAAAATCAGAATGTTTGACGTATCTAAAAGTGCGTTTATAAAAATTCAGTTGTCAAAGCAATCTACATTTTCAAAATAGTACAATCAACATTTTGGAGTAGGGACCAAATGTCTTTATAAAAACCAAGAATTCTATTGGGATCAACGATGCGAATAAATTCTTTAAATTAGTGCCAGCTCGTAGTAAAGTCTACATTGTGTCTGAAACAAAATGGGTTTTTTCCTCTCTTTGCAGGGGGAATTTATGCATCAGGGAGGAACGTCCAATGTCCAAATACGTAATTTTGTTAAAATAACTTTTCTTTTCAGGAGAAACCCGAAGGTTTTCACAAACTTGACTAACTTGGACATTATATTGTGGAGTTAATTATTCACTTGTTCGCTAACAAATGAAAATAACGAAAAGCATGTTTGTTTCTTTTTTGCTGAGGATGCTTTGCACGTTTCAATAGGGGAATCCCCTGACAGCGAGAAGAATAAATAATAGTCCACGCCTACTCACCTTTTGTTCACATTGAGTCTCGGCATTCACCACCTCCTTCAGCTCTGTCTTCGCCTTCGCCACCTCTTGCTCTAGCTGGGGGATGTATTCCTGCACTTTCTTGATGTCCCTGAACAGACCACAATACATCTTATACATTGACAGGGACTAGAAAATATGGCTACATGAGATTGGGTATTACCTGTATTACCTGTCCTGGGCAACAACGTCATTGCACACCGGACAGGTCCGTAAGTGCTCAGTTCCCCCCAGCACCAAAGCCCGGAAGGTATCCATACTGATACTGAGATTGGGTGGTAAAATAAAGTAAGTGAAGCAGTAGCAGTCACAGTGCATTAGGAAAAGAATAGGATAATAGCAATACATGTAAAAAGTAGAAGTAGACTCACTAACCCCTCACATTTTGTGTAACAAATCAAATGAAACAAAAACCACACAGCTCAGATTAAAATGTAATTTATCTCTTTAAACCCTATGCGTCCGCCAGTAATAACCCTGTTCCCCATCGGACACTGGGAGCGTCCGATACCGTGACAACTATTTCATTTTATTTAGTGCTAGTTCTTGCTTGTTTTTCAGAACTATTCCTGAACCAAGTTTATTAGTAATGACTATGCCTTTGTTTCTGCCATCTAGAAGTTAGAGGCAAGTTTTTGGGGTTATAATGAGACATAGTGGGCCAGGTTTAGGTGACAGTCGAAAAAAAAAACCGGGAAACGGTGGAAATAACTCAGGGTCTAAAGAGTTTTAAAATGTAATTGTGGAAGTTTTAACCCCCCCTCCCAAAAAAAAAAACACTATTTGAATTATTTGAGGTGGACTGCTTTTTCTCTGCCTGCCAGGGCCAGACCAAGCTGAGGGGGCACTTACTGAGCTCGTTTCTCCTGAGCGTCGGCTGCGTCTTTCAGCGACTTCCTGATTGTCTCCAGTTTCTTGGTCTCTGCCGACTGTCTGCTGGTGTAGATCTCCAGTTCTGACTCAGCCACTTGAAGCTGGGTACCAGGATGGGACAAAGAGAAATCTTTTTCATGAGAAAAGCTAAACAGTATTTATATTAGTACTCTTCTAATTTAGTATTAGTTTTAGTAGAGGTTTTACGGCGCTCGCAACTGCATACGGTCATATGAGCGCCAGAAGATTAGAGGTGTTACAAGAGAGTAACAAACATAAAAAAGAAGGAGGGGAGATAAGGACGATAGGTGTTTGATAGGAAAGAAGAAGCTTTATTCAGAACTTGAAAAGAATAACAAAGACATCGGAAGTGCCATATCTAAAGCCTCATCTTCGTGATAATGTCTATCTATACTATATTCAAGGTCCCACTCAGTGATAACCATAATATCACATTAATACAACCACTCACCTTAGATTTCTTTTCATTCAGCTCTCCCTGTTGCTCCAGAAGCTTAGCCTCTTTCACATCCTTCTCACTTTGTAGTTCCTGCAGACACAGCAGAACAAGAATAGAAAATGCTAGAAAACTAGAATACATGAGCATATTTCTTATAAGTTATATATATATTTAAATTCAATTAAAAGGAAACTATTTCTCAAAAACCATAAAAGCTTGCTAAAAGTTTTTAAAAATGTAAGAAAAAGGAATTACATAATGTTTTGCTTCTTTTACATCTTTCTTACTCTGCAGTCTCTACAGATATAGCAGTACAAGAAGAAAAATTATATAATTTGACCACATTTGATAAAATCTGATTTTAATACGTAACAAAATATATCTGAAAAACCATAAAAGCCAGTCAAGCTTAACACTTTGCAGTCACACAGCCAGCAGAACAAAATACCCCATCTGGTCACCCAGTCAGGAGAGTGACTGCAACGGACTTCTCGTGCCTGGCGTAGAATTGCTCCAGGTGACCGGAACGGATAATTTTCGTCGGCACATTATTACACCAAGTGACGGCAAAGTGTTAAAAGATCGGGGAAAAAAAGGGAATCCATAAATCAATTTGAAAGTTCCAGTCAGTTCTGCGTACAAATTATTTTCCGTACCTTTGTTTCATCCTTCAGACTATCCATGATGGCTTTCTCATTCTCCTCTTCCTTCTGTTTAGCCTTCTCCAAGTTTGCCAGCTTCTTTTTCAGTTCCTCACACATTTTCTCCGACTGCTCCGGCACCAGCTTCAGTTCTTCAATCTGTTTTGTGTGTGTGTGCGTGTGTGTGTGCGCGCGTGCGTGTGTGTGTGTGTGTGTGTGTTATTGTGTGTGAGTGTGCGTGTGTGGTGGAGGAGAAAGTGTTTTAATCAAAAAGACGTCATTATGAACAAAAACAGGTCAGAAACAACAAAAGGACAGCAAACAAATAAATCAGGAAACAGGACCTACTTAGAGCACTTTCCAACCACCATCACAAAAGGAGATATTTGTACGAGTACAAGAAGAATTTAGAAGTTAATAAAGATATTGCAATATCCCTAAGGCAAAGTCTGTGCTACATTAATGCTTGCAATAATAAATAATAATGGATTGCACTTATATAGCGCATATCCACTTATGCAATGCTCTAGGCACTCAATATGTAAGATATATATACAAAACAAAAACAAAGTCAGTCTTTGCATTTCTCCAGAATTGTGGGAACTTTTCTGTCTTTACAGAGAATGCCGAGGAGTACAGGAGAGTGCCCTTGACCTTGAGCGTACCTTGGCAGTCTCAACCTCCAGCGATTTCTCCAGTTTCTTTAGCTTGGCCTTGTTCAACTTGACCTCCTCCTGACACGCAGCATCCTGGCTTTCCATGTCGGAGAATTTCTCACGACTTTCCTCACTCGCCTTCACCAGCTTCTCATATTCCCTGTGGGGTGTGGTGGTGGTGGGGGGGGGGGGGGGGGGCAAAAATAGTTTATTTGAGCCAAGAGAAGCACACCACTATAATAATGCTCATTTAGTGTTGTTTAGTTTTAGTAAGTGTTTTACGGCACTTGCAACACAATAAGGTCATATAAGTGCCAAAGAATAGATGTGTCACAAGAGAGTAACAAACACAAAAAAGAAGGAGGGGAGATAAAGACGATAAACATTTGATAGGAAAGAAGAAGCAAACCACACCAGAGCACCCGCCAACCACCCACATTTAGTGTTGGGTGAAAGAAAAAAAAAAAAGCAAGAAAGAGACAGTAGAAACAATAGATGGAAAGTACAGAATTAGAAGCTACCAGCACCGCCCTGCCACCACCCAAGTAAAACCAAGACAGTAATGCTATCGTGGTCTCTCTCTTTAGTGTAAAGATTATTATACATTCCGCCTTGCACACCAATACATGAACTTTATACCAAAAAGGAGAATATGTTTTGTCTAGTGTTTCTGTCCTTGTGCACAGACAAAGTATTCCATACACACACAGAGGCATACAAACAACAGACATAGACACATTCACACATACATGATACACAGAAATATACACATTTGACACACGAGACAAAATAAATTTGACACACGAGACAAAATAAAGCCAACCTACTTTTTGACTTTGTTGAACTCTTTCATCTTGGTCGTCTTTGCCTCCTTGACAACGGCCAGTTTCTCCGCAAAGGCTTTGTGGCTCTCCTGAACGCGATCAAACTCCGCCTGAGCTTTCGCTTCATTCTCCGAACATTCCAGTCTAGAAGAGAGATTCAGAAAGAAAAAACCACATCAGACAACAAAATGTGTCTACTCTCAGTCTACCAAACTATTTCTGTAACAATTGAACTCTTCTGAAATCTTGAAAAGAAAAAAATGTCTGGATGTGGTATCCCTCATATATCGCATTAGTAAAGATACATGACATGTGATATATTCTAAGGAATATGACAATTTCAACTAATTTAACCTCACATAAAGACTGAACCTTTTAATTAATAGAGCACAAGCATTATCTTCCCTTGTGACAGAAAATATTATCTTTCTGTTCTATATAATATGATGCACAACATTCCATTATAACAATTTCAGAAAGCCTTTCTTGAGCTATTGGTAAACCACATACCTAGTTCAGATAAAACCATACATATATGCATTTTTTTTAAAGACCGAACATGTACTTTTGATAGAGCCGATTAATGTATTTCATACAAATCATCACATCTATTTCAGATAAAGCCTTACATGTATTTCTAATTTCTGACAAATCCTTACATGTATTTCTGATACAGCTTGTTCCTCAATTTCATCAGCTCATTCTCCATTGTGAGGAATTCCACTGCTTCATTCTTTGGCCCCTCCAAGCTCTCCATTTCTTTTTCTACTGCCTTAACTCTGTTGAGCTGAAAGAGAATTAAAAGAAAAATATTGAAGTAAAAAAGAAAAAAAAAAAAAATGGGTGGGGAGGGGAAAATCTCTGCAAATTAAGAACAATGCGTGGGAGCAAGGAACATGGTGGGTCCGCTCCCCCCCCCCCTCATCCGTAAGTGTTTTACGGCGCTCGCAACCGCATAACGTCATATGAGTGTGTGGGACACATTTAAAAACATTTTCAGTTGGTAGGCAATTTTGAATTTTGCCAGTGTGGTGACCGAAGCCAACTCTGATCGATTTTGGATGAAGGGATTTTTAATGTGTGCAACTTGCACACAGGACCTCAGAGACTTTTCGCCCTTGTCCAAAAAGGCCAGGTGTAGATCTTTCCTACTATAAGATCAGGGGCGTGGCTGAAAGACAGCAGTAAGAAGGAACCAAGAAGTAGCAGTAGAAAGGCTGAAGAAGGAGTCAGGATCCTAGAGGAGGGACAAAGGAGGTGAAGGGGAGTGGGCAGAAAGTAGAGACAAAAGCAGACGATAGAACATTGCTAGAGAGCATGAAAGGAGGTGAAAGGAGAAAATTATAGAGCAGAAAATTTTCCGTCGCTATCTGGATTCGAACTCGGGACCTATTGAATGAGAGGCGAACGCCTTAACCTCTAGGCCACGGGATCCCCTGAGCTAGTTTACTGACAATCCCTGGATCTGGCCACACTCTAGTTCCAAGCCTTTCAGTTAACAGACCCGATAGCATACCCACAAAGGATGACCTCAACAGTCCAAACGTGTTTGCTTCTCACATCAAAGTATCTGGTTCACCTCCCAGTTCATCCACTCTTGTCTTCTAAGCTATTAATTCTCTAAAATCTGAAATTCTATACCTTGATAAAATTTAAGCCCCCATTTAAATAACTTTGACCAAGAGGATGCCATCCACGTCACAAAATGTGACTCCCCTTGAGAAAAAGCTCTGTTGCAGTCTCTCAGATTTGATTGAAGGGGACTGCACAATTTGTGCGCGACATCGGACTGACTGTCTAGCTGCTGTCATCGAGAACGAGGAAAAAGAAGAAATAATTTTAGATTTTTTTTAAAAGACCGAACATGCATTTTTGATAGAGCCGATTAATGTACTTCATATAAATCATCACATCTATTTTAGATAAAGCCTTACATGTATTTCTAATTTCTGACAAATCCTTACATGTATTTCTTGTAAAAAGCAACCAAAAAAAAAAGCCTTACTTTCTCCGCTCGGAGGTCGTTGAGTGTCTCGACCCGCTGACTCAGAGTCTCGATCGGCTGCTTGAAGCGGTTCGAGCCGATGATGTCCTCCAGGAACTCCAGCATGCCGTCCTCGTGCTCCGTCTGTGCCTTTGGCTTCATCATGGCGATCTGCTCCACCTCTCCCTGCACACACACAGACATTTCCCAATAGTATTCAAAATATATATATATATATATAACTCAAGGTTTGTTTGTTTTTTTAGTTTTAGTAGAGGTTTTACGGCCCTTGCACACAATAAGGTCATGTAAGTGCCGAAGATTAGAAGTGTTACAAAAGAGTAACAAGCACACTTTAAGAAAGAGGAGAAATAAGGATGACAGATGTTTGGAAAGAAAGGAGCAAATCAGATCAGAGCAAGCACCAACAACCCACTGGCCGGATTTCCAAATGTTATTGTTTTAGTAGAGGTTTTACGGCGCTCGCAACTGCACAAGGTTATATGAGCGCCAGGAGATTAAGAGGTGTTACAAGAGAGTAACAAACATTTTTAAAAAGGAGGGGAGATAAGGACGATAGATGTTTGATAGGAAAGAAGAAGCAAACCACACCAGAGCACCAGCCAACCACCAACCCACTCTAAATTTTTAAAGTCCATTGGCAACAAAACAGTTCAGAGTCAAACGTTTGGAGAAAGTTAAGTTTAGTTTAGTATGGGGTTTTACGGCACTCGCAACTGCATTAGGTCACATGAGTGCGCGAAACACAAGTTGATTGTATTCTCGCAACACTTCACTGTACGGCTGGGCTCGGGTCAATAATTAGATTTTTAAAATGTTAAAATGGAGGAAGTGGGCCAGATCTACACACACCTGAAGGATAAGGAACCGGTTGTGATCCAGATCAATCCCGCAGCCTCGGAGCAGGGTGGCCACCTCTTTGTACGCGGCCTTCTTCCCATCCACGTAGTAGCTGGAGCTGTTGTCTCTGTGGGCCACGCGGGACACCACAAACTGCGAGTCTGGGACCACCGTGAACTCCTCGTCGCCCGGCTGGGGAGGACATCATAACGAAAGGTTTGATTTTTATTTTATTGAGCAAAGCGAAGGTCACTGGTTCTCAGAGACAAGTGATGACAATAAAACAGAAAAACTAAAAAAACTCTCCACTGTTGTACCTCTTCCAAGTTCTTACCACCCCCCCCCCCCCCCCCCCCCATCTACAATTTTAAAAATCAAAGCCCTTGTCTCTTTTCCCGCCTTTCCCCAGTCTTGTAAGTTCTTACCCTCCTGTCCACAATAATGTAAGTTCTTACCCCCAGTGGTCACAATCTTCTGATACCTCAATCATTCTTGCATCAACAATCTAAAACTCATAGCCCTTGCCCCTCCTTACCCCAGTGTCCACAATTTTCTGGAAATGTACGGCCACAGAGCAGCTGTTGACCTCCTGATGTTTCTCGCTGTTGTGGATCAACACGCTGATCTTCTTGGAGCGGATCTTGTTGGCACGGTAACCGAACACAAACAACATGGAGTCGATCACATTCGACTTGCCGCTGCCATTGGGACCAATGATGGCAGTGAAGTTCTGTTGAGATAGAAGTGGGAACATGACATTGGTTCAACTGCATTTTCAAACTTTCTCTCATAAAGTTGTGAAAAATGTGGGATTTCTGGAATGAATATCTTTAATCTCAAATAGAGCCAACCCAAAGTGCATGGGACACCTTAAAAAGGACCCTGACATACATTAAAAAATACCCTACTGAGGAATCAAACTCCAGTCATCCTTGCAGTAGAAAAGTATCAACTGAGCTAATGGTTCATCCCTGAAAAAAATCTTACCAAATTTTAAATGTTGGAAGAAAACTGATTTCTGAAACAGATGACAATTCTGAGCGCAACTGACAAGACATAGGGCAGCAGGAGCAGCAACAACAGCCAGAGAAGGCAAGAGTTAACACATAATGTCCCTTTTCAAGAGAATCTCATCCTTGAATTTGCCAGGATAATCAGGATACAATATTTTTAGTTTGATCAAGTAGAAATGGATCACAGGCTCTTCGAAGACATCCTATCATCATTTGGGAAACAAAGAGGACAACAAATCATGTACAACGAACCTGTGATTCAAAAGGACAAACAAGGCAATATAAAATATCTTAAATTTGACCGTCCTAATCTTGAAATTTACCTTGTTGAAAGGTCCCAGCTTCTGAATGCCAGCATAAGACTTAAAATTTTCATTGACAATCTGCGTGATCATCAACCGTGGTCCATTTGGTTCATACGTTGCGACAGACTGAACAGCATCAGGAATTTCAATGGGGCCATAATCTGAAATGCAACAAAAGTAGAAGCACTTATACTTATCTAGATTTAGCAATATCTTACACAAAATATAAACTCTATACATCTTCAAAGGCAAGGTCACTTAGACTTTAGAAGGTTTTATTTTTTTAATTCAACATCAAGAGAATGTTCTACCCGAATCACAAGTGTGCAAATGAATTTGAGATGCAAGACAGTTGTATGTTTGCACTCTCATCCTGACACAAAAACGTGACAACACAATTGTTCAGTTCCAACGGCTGAACACAGCTTTCTGTTCCATCCTCTCAGAAATTAACAAAGACATGATGCTCAATAAGCAACATCATTTATTTCGCGGTACCTGCAGGATTGAAAACGACAGGAGGATTCACAGCTTCTGATGTCTCTGTGTCGCCAATCTCCTCCCCATCAACTTCCATGTTCTCATTGTCTCCATTGTGATTGTGTTTGGGTGCCATTTCTTGATTCTTCCCACAGAATCAGAAGTCTGAAAACAAAACAAAAAAATTATGAATTGAATTTAAAACCTCTTTAACTTACAGAACAATTTAATAATCACTATCATCAAATTTTAGATTTTCAATTCAAACGAGTGGTAGCCTCAGTGCTGCTGTGTATGGATGTGAGACATGGAACGCATCTCAGACTTGCAGGGAGAGAGTGTATACAGACCCGGTAACCAGGAACAAAGTCACAAAGTATACAGACCCGGTAGGGGAACTTTTTTTTGTGATTTCGGAAAGTTTCAGCACCCTCTTGGCTCAGGGTAGACCTAGTAGACCTAGGTTCTTCTAGATCTATGGCCTAGGTCTAGATAGACGGACATAAAAACCATTGATCTAGTTTCGAGGTTAGCCTAGAACTAGATCTAGATCTAGATCTAAATGAAGATTGCGGATGTCTCTTCGATGAACGATTGTTTTTCCTCCGTTTTTGGACTTGGAGGAATCACAATTTGAAGAATAGAACAATGTCATAATTTCAATCGAGCAGTCTCTCTCTCTCTGACTCTGCATCGCTCGCATTCTCTTTTTCTTTGTTTGTCTCTGTCTTTCTTTCTCCCCACCTATTTCCAACTCTATCTTTCTCTCGTTCCCCCCTGTCAACTGGTGGGGCATGTCATATTTTGCTAGCACTTCCCCCTGCTCTCTGTCTCTCTCTCTCTCTCTCTACACACACACACACACACACTGCCGGGTCTGGGCGCTGAAACTTTCCGACCTCACAAAAGAGTGCCCCTACCGGGTCTGTATACTTCGTGACTTTGTTCCCGGTAACCGGGTCTGTATACACTGTCTTCTTGAACAAGTGTCTAAGAAAGTTACTGAGGATCAAATGGACAGACAGGGTCACCAACAAGGAAGTGTTTTTTAAGGAAAACAAGACCCCAGTCAGAGATGCAGGGCTCCCCATTGCCATTACCATGATTTTACGCACAGATGCGCGTCATTTCTTGTACGCTCCATTTCTTGTAAGAAGTAGATTTTCTAGAGGAAAATGACGATAGTAAGGATTAGGAAAGAAAAAACAGCAGTTCCCTGTTACTGTTGTAGTTCAGGTACAGTTATGAGCATGACATCGTTGAATCAGCCCATTAACAATTCTACTGTGCATTAGACAGTCATTAGAACGAGAAATGTCCCCCCGACTTTGGGCTTGGGAATGGTCTAAAAAGGGAAGGACTTCCGTTACGAGCGACCACCCCATCAAACACAATAAAGAAGAGGCCTAGACCTAACCCTACCCCTACCCCAAGCCCTCAATTCTATTATTCTGTTCTGTCTCATACTCATAGTGGTCGCTCGTTATGGAAGTCCTCCCGTCTAAAGACACTTCAACAGTCAACGACAACAGTCAGTGGCACCGCCCCGGTGGGGTGGTCAACACAGTCCAACAGGAAAGACAACAAAAGAAACTAAGATTGAAAACATTGACCATTTGTGAACTGGATTAAAGTTTTTACGTTTTGTTACACAATCCAATAGCACTCACAATTGCCAATTACCCGTAGCGTGTTATGAAATGTGTGTGTAACAGCTACACTACACTGTAGCTTTTGTTATTGTTTGGGCGCTGCTCCCAAGCTGAATCAAAAATGGCGCTTTGAATTTGATTGCCAGATAATTTCAATGAGTCAAGTCAAATAAAAAAATAATCTTTTTAATAATTGAAAAAGTACAGTTGATAGTGTTTAAGTTATATTTCATGGGATGTGGATAGCTTTTGTGTTTTTTTACATCATATAACGCTAACTTAAATGATGCTGTGCTTTGTAATGACATTGATCATAATATTGAAACATTTTGAAGTTCATCTACTTAAAAGGCATTAATGTACTTCATGCTTTGACTTCGTGTAATAACTCGTACTATTTTGTATTCGCATTCACGTTGCGAGACACTAACGACACTATTTTTTTTTTTTTTAAATTGCATAGTAGTAGTAGTAGTAGTAGTAGTAGTAGTAGTAGTAGTAGTAGTAGTAGTAGTAGTAGTAGTAGTAGTAGTAGTAGTAGTAGTAGCAGTAGCAGTAG